TGTGTGTGTGTGTGTGTGTGTGTGTGTGTGTGTGAGAGAGAGAGAGAGAGAGAGAGAGAGAGAGAGAGAGAGAGAGAGAGAGAGAGAGAGATTCAAATGTGACCAGAGCTGTGTCGTTCGGTGGCTCGCATAACCTTCGCTTGAAGGACATTCAGCAAATATCCTTCGACAGGACATGTTCGGATTGTCTGCTGAAGGAGGAACTGTCTCTGAGGTCTGCAGTCACGAAGTAGAAATACGCTCACCTGCGTTCAAAATATCTTGGTGCTTTCTGAGTGCATGGGAAAGACTGACGTAATTTTGCTGTGTCTTAAGCTAGTTTGATTGAATTCCTTGTTCTCTGCAGGTGGTCGGAGCAGTTGGGTTTCAGAATCGGTGCTTGACGATTCCTGACAATGTGGACCCCTCAGTGGCATCCATCATCCAGGACTGCTTTTCACAGTACGTGTGCGAACCCTCTACCATTTCACGGCATATACTCACATCACAGGTTTAGTTTCCTTGCTTCTCCTTCATTCTTTCTTTCTTTCTTTTTTTTTTTGGACCGTTTCTCGATTTATGTGTGTCATCCTTGCGCAGGGGCCATGCTAATCTTCTCTGTATCGTTCCAATTTTAACGGATGTCCCGAAGGACTCTCCTTCATTCTTTCTAAAAGGGTAGCCCTGCGATTTTTTTATGTTCGTCTGATGCTCTGAGGACTCAAATTTCAAACTCATTCAGATCACTTTGCTGAGTCAGACCAGTAAGCTACGATTTCCTGCCTTCTTCCCCTGAATACAACGTACGATCATTATAGCTGTATTCGGGGTATCTTTCAGTCTCAATACAGCTATAATGACCGTACATTGTATTCGGGGGAAAACGGTAGTTAAGATTCTTAAGAACTTAAGAGGGTTAAGAAGTTCTTAAATGCACTGCGTATGTTTTGGCTGCCTGTCTGGTTTTGGCAATGGATTCTTTCCTCCTTCTATTGTTCTTTGTAAAACTATGGCTCCGACATTTTTCTCGTCAGTAGGGTTCTTGTTGAAGTTTAAATGCTTCATTATCATCATTATCATCATAATGCAATCAGACTCAACTCTGGACTTGCTCACAACATGCACACTTGAGAACCGTTGGCAAACCAAACTCTTCCAACTCAGAAACAACAATGAACTTGCTCTTAAACTCTGTTCAGAACAACTGTACAACTTGCGGCTATGGCCGCCGAATACTGTCTCTACCACCAGCCTCACTCTCCCTCAGTCTCACATGTATGCACGTACGAGGATCACCCTGAATGTCCCCACTCAGAACAGCCTCACACACTCTGTACACTTGTCTACACCAACAGCTGGGCGGCTATGGCCACTGTCGTCTTCCTCCTCCTAGCTATGGCCGCCGGTGTCTCCCTCGCTGGTTCGCTATGGTCGATGTCTTCTTCACAGCCCACTTCTACTCCGGGCACCTGCAGACCTCCACGCACAAGATACCAAGGTAGCTCTTCCGCATGGCTCACAGGCGAATGAATGAATGGCTGGACGCTGCCTCTTTATTTATACCTCTTTGGAGGTACCCGGGCCTGCCTCAAAACGTGTGGGCCTGGGCCAAAACGTGTGGCCCAGGGAAGTTTCCAGACGTTTGGCCTTCTGGGCCAAAATGTGTGAAACCCACAGCGTGCTCCAGAACCTTCTCCACGTGCAGCCCTTACCCCTGGTACTTGCTGACTGGACTGGCCTACAGGGACCTACGACCTTCTAGACTATACAGACCTACAGACAGATTCCAGTCCTCAACAGACTTCGTAGAGACTTCTAGAACAGACTTCCTAAGCCTATCGGTAACAGACCTAGCTGCTAATCTACAGACCTAGGGATCAAGTCCTACTGCCCAAACTACAGACTAATCTGGGATGTGAAACAGGTCTAGGGATCGAATCCTACTCAGCACACAGGGTCTATGTACAGGTATAGGATAGGTCTAGGGATCGAATCTCACTTAGCACACGGGATCAATGTACAGGGTTGTGGCACAGGTCTAAGGATCAAATCTCTGTGACTGCAATGTCAGGTCAACTGGGTGAAACCGTTTCAATAATCATAATAGGCTTTTAAAAAAAAACATAATAATCATAATTGAAGTTTTACATCCACGAATTACTTGAGAATACCATCAGGATGTGGATTAATAAGCTGATGTGGTGGTTACCTTGCCTTCCACAGCTGGGGTGACATCTGCAGGGATCTCTCCTGTTTTCCACTCCCTTTAGCATCATCCACTGGTGGGAACAAGCCACTGGTTTAGCCCCTGGTGAATAGCCGACCTGTTGAAAACTGTCGCAAGACAGCCGGTTACAACCGGCATGCGCTAAAGAGGAATTGGTCCATTGATACCTAGCACAAAAAAAAAAAAAACCTCGCAATTCTTTTATCAGTTCCATTTGGTTCTTCGATGTCTCCTTTTTTTTTTCTTTTTTTTTTTTTTGTGTGTGTGTGTGCTTGTGGGTATGTGACTTCTGCGACCTTACTGCAACCTGTAGCATCCAAAGGTGTGCTTTTAAGCAATACTCAAAAGAGCCAGCAGCCAAGTACGGCCAAGAAACAAATGCACAATGTCACGCTTTGGAAGGCCAAAAGCGACGAACAGCAGGGCAAAAGCAGCAAGCCAAAAGGCAGCAAGGCAGAGGCAGTGAGGCAAAAGTGGCAAGGCAAAGGGAAGGAGGCGAGCAAAAGGCAGCGAGCCAAAAAGGCAACAAAAGGCAAAAAGTACCAACACAAGAAACGTTGAGTAACAGAAAAAACACAGAGCGAGAGAAAAACTGATGGTGATACCCCCCCCCCCGCCCCCTCCCCCCCCGGGGCTATCCTGGGGATAGTGCTGTGTGGCATGGCGGCGACTGCCGGAGGAGAGACACCCAAATTGCTGTAACGCCGGGTGAGGACCAGGGGCAGGGAAGCAACCGCGCGCTGCAGTGTAGAGTCTGGCGTTTAGGAGGAAAAGCGCTGTGTGTTTAGAGACCCCGTCTGGGCGGCTTTATTGCTTCCCCTATAGTGGGACTAGGTCCCATGGGGAGTTATGGACAGCTGGAGTTGCTGACTTCCTGCAGGTGTTGCTCCCCACCAATATACAGGAGCAACCGGGGGGCGCACAAGACTCGGAGGACGGTGCTCCTGGGTGAGAGGAGGTAGGGGCAGGTTGAATCTAAGATAGAAAAGGAAAAAGATGAGATTGCCCGCGGTCGGCTTATCTTCACGAATGGTTTTTCTTCGGGTCCCAGAGGGTCCCGTCACAAGCAAAAAATTGGGTAATGCTCCGGCCTCTTTTAGTAGGACTAGGTCCCATAAGGAGATATGGACAGCTGGAGTTGCTGACTTTGCTTTGAGTTAATAATGAATGGAAAAAAAAAAAAAAAAAAAAAAAAACTGATGATGACAGTCGGGTATTCATGTAATTGTGTGGCTTGCTGGTGGAAGAGGAACCGGACCGATGCTCCCCCAGAATAGACGGGGAAAAAAAAACAACCTGATAATGATAGATTGTTTTGTCGGACTTGCACCGACTCATCAGGAACCCCCCGCAATCTGTGGAATCCCCATATTGATGTTGTGAGTCATGGACTCTTTTAACCCCTGTTGAAAGTGGACGGCCTACGGGCAACACCACAAACGAAACATGGGAGAAGGGAAACGACTCAGCGAAGCACCAAGCAATGCTAACGGGGCACCCCAACTACAAAAGGCAAAAGTTAACAACATGGAACAACAATGAAAGCAGACGGGAAGCAAGGCAATAACATAGTCAAGCACATGGCAGCGCTGACACAGCAGCCAAGCTATTGCTTTGCAGGCGCTCGCAAGAGACACGCCGGGAATAATACTGGGTATGTTATACCCGACCTCTATAACAACCTGGGCTTAAAAAAAAAAAAAAAAGAGAGAGACACCTTTTCAACCTACACAAGCAAATTGCACGGAAAGGCAAGGCGCATGTATGTACAGCCGGGCAACACTGAAGCGAAACACAAAGCACTACTGACAAGGCAAACAAACTACACGGAAAACAGACAACCAAAGAACAAACAACAAAAGAAACAGACGTACATAAAACTGATTGTGTGTGTGTGTGTGTGTGTGTGTGTGTGTGTGTGTGTGTGTGTGTGTGTGATGATGTGTGTAAGCACATATTATGGTAGCCTCAGCACAAGGGAAACAACAGCATGACAAACGACGACAATGCAAAAACAACACCCGAAAAAATACAAGTATAAACAGGGCAAAGACTGAAAAAAATAAAACTGATGATGAAAGATTGTTTCGTCGGAGTTGCACCGCCTCATCAGGAGGCTGAACCCTCGACAATCTGAAGGAATCTTTGTATTAGATGGTTTGGGTCATGAACCCTTTGACCCTTGTTGAAGGCAGACTGTCCGCAAGCGGAACATAGCAGCGGGCGACGACCCTGTGGAGCACCAGGCAACACAGTAGAGGCAACACGGCTGCACAACGCCAAAAACGACTGCAACGAAAGACATGGCACGCAGCGCGGAAACACGGAAGGCACGGCCGGCGGATGGGCAGCACGGCAGCGGAGCAGCGAAGCGCAAGGCAACACCGACAACACAGCCACACCACACAGCGAACACAGCGACTTGCAGAGAACCACATGCAAAGCAAGCGGGACAGGCAGCAAGGCGGCGGTGGTGCACAGACGAGGCAGTCCACACATCCAACACGAAGCAAAGCAGCGCATGACCTACTCACATCACGATTAAACCCTGCAAACTGTTGATTCCCACCACCCACTGAGCCAGGGAGTCACTCCGACGAGCATCCGTCATCACCTACAGGCAACACCGACATCCCGAACTGAGCGGCCCCCATAAGAGTGCAGTAGGCACTCCAAACGAGGAACCACCGACTGTTTGGCACTACTTAAGGGTGCTCAGTTGGGTAAAAAAAATGCTCAGACAAAATTAGATGAAGAACAGACAGCAAGAGGGGAAACAAGCAGACATAAAAGTTGATAAAACTGATTTTGTGTGTGTGTGTGTGTGTGTGTGTGTGTGTGTGTGTGTGTGTGTGTGTGTGTGTGTGTGNTGTGTGTGTGTGTGTGTGTGTGTGAGAGAGAGAGAGAGAGAGAGAGAGAGAGAGAGAGAGAGAGAGAGAGAGAGAGAGAGAGAGAGAGAGTTGCATATGGTAGTCCAACTTCATTGTCTATCAAATAGTATCAATTTGATGAGAATTGCTTCAGGTGCATTGGTTTATTTTCGTTGGATCTCATTCTGTGCGGTTTTTGGTTCCTAACATCTCTTTCCTACAATCCACATGGCACAATCCATTTGTTAGAGCTCGTTTGCGAACTGTTGGTTCAGCCGTCATTGACTTTTAATCGTTCTCTCCACTACCCGCTCTCCTCTCCCCCTTCCTGTGGCCTTTTTGCTTCTCAAATTGTCGTGTTCGTGATGCGTAATCCATTTGTGGCAGTGATCCCAAAGACAGGCCATCGTTTAGTGAGTTGCTTGATCTCCTCAAGCCACTCCAGAGACTTACCATCGCATCTTCGGGCAGTGCTCCGGCGGAGTCAGCTGTTCCGTCACAGCAGCAGCCTGTTGAGCAAGAAGCATAATGTCAAACCGATTGCGCTGCTATGTACTATATGAAGAACATCAAGAAGGTTCATACTTCTTGCTTTAATCCCAGACTGTGTGGAGCTGGAGCTGGGCATTTAGGCTCGTCGTCCTCTGGATCTGGGCAAAAGAGTAGCTGAGTGGACATCCAGCTGACCCACAAGAAGATTCACTCAGTTTTACACATGGCGTGAGAATACATCTCCAGCGTGTAATCTGTTATAGTACCAAATGCCCATCACATTGTGTTAATTCATTTGATTGATCGATATGTTCGTTTCCCAGTGTGAGTTGCTCGACGACGCACCGTAACAGAGGTCATCATCAATTCTGCAGGAAGGTGTACGATGGGCCTAGCTGGCAGAGTGTGATGACATGGAGGGCCAACTGCGACAGTGTAAGAGAGATCGAGAAATGTCCGTGCATTCCTATTGTCATGTTGGCATGACGCTTCCCAAGACACACATTTTCGGCAGCTGTGAATTGTATATATATATATATAACTAAACTAGAAGACTTTGAACTCAATTCCGTTTGGCGAGCGGACTCAGACAACATGGAAGATAGCTCCAAGTAGTATTACCGTAATTGGACAGTTATAGAGTTGCGAAGCAGAACAGCTCTCATGGAGCACATATACTATACAGGCTGACTTGCATAGAGAAGATGGCTCAAGGAGCTCAAGGAGTGTAACTGGTCTACTAGAGTAATGAACAGAGATTGGATGGAAAAATCCTCGACAAAGGACTCGCTGTAGCAGGGGTACAAGACCACTGGCCACGCTTCTGAACTTTGGCAAATTTGAGACCATTTCATCGGTTGCCGCTAAATGAATTTGCTCACTTCATCTCTCTACAGATGGGCCGCTACATGAATTTGCTCACTTATCTCTCTACAGATGGCCCAAGGAGCTCAAGGAGTGTACTAGTTGGACTATCGTCTTCCCCGGGATAGAACAATGCCTGTATTTGGGGAAACTTCCAGTCTACTAGTAGATACAGCGTACATTCTATTTGGGGAAGACGATAGTAGAGTTATAAACAGAAGTGGATGGGAACAATCCTCGACAAGAGACTAGTTGTCGCAGGGGTAAAACAACGAATTGCCGCGCTTCTCAACTTCGGCACTTTTGAGAGCATTTCATTGCAATGGTTGTTTGGTACATGAATTGGACCACTTCTTACCTCTACAGATGATGCCTCAAGGAGCTAAAGGAGTGTTATTCAACTAGTATCGCAGTGTAAGTGTAATGAACCGAAGTGGATTGCACAGTCGTCGACAAGAGACAAGTTGTCGCAGTGGTATAAGACCCCAATGGCTGCACGTCTCGACTTCGGGACATGTGAGTGTTTCATTGGTTGCTGCTACACGAATTTGATCTCTTCACGTCAGAATCTGTACAGCAGAGCTCTTGCATGTTGTGTGTGCGACATCATCTATCTTCGAAACGTGAGGCATATTGTCCAAATCGAAAGAAGAATTGCTCGCCGTGGTCATCAACAACGTCAAGCTATGGGACTTGGTATAAACGTATACATTGTTGCACCTAACGGGTCTGGGAAACGGCAAGTTACCCATGTGCGAACTTTTAAGTGTGGTCCTGGCAGAAGAGAGAGCAAAGCTAAAGGCCAGGGACCAACTAATTCAACGGAGTGCAACTACCAGACACTCACTGCCTTCTTAGGTTTTTTTTTTTTTTTTTTTTTTTTTTTTTTTCCCTCATGTCTAGGGGACTCATGGTCCTGGCTCCTTTCTATTCCATTTTGTAATTTTCTCCCCGTGGGCCAGGCTTGTCTCTGTTCCTACCTGACAATCATCGGGGCAGATTGGATCCATCAGATTGTATGTGATTGCTGTGGGACGGTCAGATCGCCTGGCATTGCTTTGGAACCATCGGGTCCCATGTCATTGTCGTGGAACCATCTGATTGCTGTGGGACCATCTGATTGATGTGGGACCGTCGGATCCCATGTTGTTTTTTGTGTGGGACCATCGGATCCCATGTCATTGTCGTGGGACCGTCGGATCCCATGTCATTGCTGTTGGACCGTTGGATCCCATGGCATTGCTGTGGGACCATCGGATTCTATGTGATTGCTGTGGAACGGTCGGATCCCATGTCATTGCTGTGGAGCCGTCGGATCCCATGGCATTGCAGCTGTGGGGCCTTCTGACTCTATGGCATTGCTGCCGCAGATTTTGATGGCGCCACTGCGAAATCTTTTGCAAGAGTCGTCATTGTTTTACTCCACTGCATGGGCTCTGCCCGGGAGCACCAATTGCTCTTGCAGTGTGATCCAGAAGATATTCTTTTTGACCAAATAGTATGTGGATGGAGATGGATATTGCCTAGACTGTTAGAAAGTCTTGCGTCTTGTTGCAAAGATCTGGCTGTGACAGTTTCTCAACCAGTTCAGAAATTGAACCTTGAGGGGGAAAAGGTGATGGAAAGGAAGGCAAAGGAAAAAGCTGCAGTGGACTAGATGAGAGGAGGAGGAGGGAGGCAGGGACAAGGATGAAATTGTGAACAATGCAGACAGGAAATGGGTGGAAACTGAGAATTGCCAAGAAGGGTTTCACTGTTGAAGGACTAATGAAAGATTGGAAGGAGGGACAAATGTAGAATTGGAGAACGAGTGGCGAGGANGTAGCCAAGGGGAGTTTGAAGGATCTAGCAAGAAACAGTGAGAAATATGTGAAGAAGGATAAGGGAAAATTGAAGGCAGATTCAAAGTTGTAGCGGAGCAGTGGATGAGCTGGGGGAAGGCGGGCTGAAAGGAAGGATCGAGAGGGGGGACTCAGTAGCCAAGGGGAGTTTGAAGGATCTAGCAAGAAACAGTGAGAAATATGTGAAGAAGGATAAGGGAAAATTGAAGGCAGATTCAAAGTTGTAGCGNGTAGCCAAGGGGAGTTTGAAGGATCTAGCAAGAAACAGTGAGAAATATGTGAAGAAGGATAAGGGAAAATTGAAGGCAGATTCAAAGTTGTAGCGACAAAGAGTGAGAAAGATGTGAAAAGGAAGTAGTGAAAGAGCTGGGAAGAGGTGCCGGCAGGTTTTCCTTTCCTGGTAAGTCACCCCTTCGGTGAAGAACCAGGAAAAATGGAGAAAGTGCAAGGATGACCAAGAGGGTTGTTGCAGAATGGGCCAGGAGGATTGGAGGAGGACTATTGGCGATAGCAAGGAAGTCGTTAACGATACAGACACTGGGTTAGTGGATAAGAAGAGTGAGGAAGAGAGGGTATGATGAGGACGAGCAGAGAAGAGTCTGAGGCAAGGGAAAACACGCAGGCATCCAGTACGAACTTCGAGGGAAGTGATCAGCCACTCTGACAGTGTATGGACTAAGGATGAAGTAACTGCAGCAAAGTAACAATTGTTGTTCTCTGTGGAAAAGAGCAGATTCAGTCCTCAGGAATGCTTATTGTGGGTGGCATGGCGTTCTCGCCATTCTTTCTTGCAGAGGTCCACAGCGGAAGACAACGCCTCTACTAGTACATGGGGTCCGATCTCCGCATTCTTTCAGGTCAAGGACACGGGTTCAAAGCCCTGTGCATCTACTAGTATGTCCATGCGGTGGGTATAGTGCCTTTCTCGATTCTCATTGTGAGGAGGTTACACACGTGTATGGGGTTTGATGGGACACGCCAGCACGTTTACTACTATACTATATTTTAGTCAGTGGCACACGTTTCTCCACATTTTTGGCAAAGCTGAACGAGTATCTTGATTTGAACCCATGTTTTTGACTTGATAGACAGTGCATTAATTGTGCTCCTCATGAATGCTTGTGGTATGCGGCATACCTTTCTCCTCATTCTTTCAAGCTATGTTCTTATAACATGGCGTTTGACGGACGATTGCTTGTTTACTACTCATCTATGCTTGTGGTTGGTGGAACGCCTTTTCCACACTCGCTGTGACAAACGATTTTTCCGCACTCATTGTGACGAAACGGCTTTTCCGTACTCATTCTGACCATGTTACAGAGATGGATGTATTGTAATCAATGGAAGATTAACTCATTTGCTTCTGCTCATACATGCTTCTGGTAGGTGGCACACATTTCTCTGCACTCTGTGGCAGAGTTGCATGGGTGTATGGAGTTCGACGGGAGATAGCTCATTTACTATTACTCCAATGTTCTCACAAATACTTACGGTGAGTGGCACGTCTTTCCCCTGACTCATCAGAAGATTTGAATGACATCAGTAGATGATGAACAAGACATTTGGTATCAATTATACGTCGTGCACAGTGATTCGAACCCGTGCCCTCGACCTGAAAGACATTTGGCATCAATTATATGTCATGCACAGGGATTTGAAGTTCAACCCATGTCTTCGATGTGAAAGACACATTCGGTATCACTGTTTACTCTTGAACGACATTTGGTATCAGTATATATGTCATGTCATGCACATGGATTTGAGCATGTGTCTTCGGTGACGTTTGATCACTATTTTCTCAGACTTGCAGTCATTTGCTCCAGTGCGAACACGGAATAGAGGTCCATAGGTCCGCGAATCACTTGTCTATAGGACGGACGAAAAAGCAGTAATGGCATAGATCATTTGCCCCCCCTTTTGCTCTGGGCTTTTTCAGTGACCGTCTTCTGTTCCTTTTTTTCATGACCTTCCCACACGGTGCGAGATTTTCTTTTTCTTTCGTGAAATTGGTGTTTGTCTCCATGATTTTTTGGATGTAGCGGCTGTACGTTTCCCAAAAGCATTCATGTAACGATGCCAGACGTCAGCGTCGAGAGCTTTGCAGATTAGTATCATGGTAACTTGTCAATGATCAAGCTTGCCATCCCTCATCGAAATTGCACAAGGACATCCCTCGTGTCCTTCTTTCTCTCTCCCTTTTCCGGTAGTTGGAGTTACGACAATCTAGTCATGGTGTGAAGATCCCCAGGCCCGTGTGCACAGGATTGCTGGGCAGCCGAATGATGGCTTGTAAGGCACTTTTCTCCCCACATTCAAGCTCTGGCAGCTCACAAATTCTACTTGCAGTCCGTATGTAAAAACATGATGGATTTTCTTTGCCTCCTTTGCAACATCTGTGGAATGCTTTTCTTACTGTGGTATCGACGGTGCAATCAGTGTTGTCGTAATGCCGGGAGAGAGAGAGGCAGAGAGAGAGAGAGAGAGAGAGAGAGAGAGAGAGAGAGAGAGAGAGAGAGAGAGAGATTCCAGAAGGCTTAGCGTGAGGATGAATTTCTTTGCATCCTTTTCCATGTCTCAGGATTGCAGATTATATGGACTACAGGGTTTCGTACTAAACTCGTGGCAGGTGACCTCGTGGGTTGCGGAATTGTCTGCCAGGAGCCTGAAAAGTTCTGGCTTTGCTTCTGGCAGAAATTCCCGTTTCTGCATCTCTGGATTGCAGAGCTTAATAGTTATCGGTACTGTGTTAATGGCAGATTATCAACTTCCTTTTTGGCGGAGTGTCTCCTTTGCCAGGAGCTTGAAGGAGTGTTTTCAGTGTTTCAGTCAGTGTTTCAGTGTTTCAGTGTTTCAGTGTTTCAGTGTGTCACTGACTCAGTGGCATTTGGAAGATGTTATAGTTGCCGTTCTGTTGGCATTCGGATCGGAACATGCTCCTGTCGTTGTGTTCTGGTTGCACACCTACCGTCTTCACCCGAATAAAACGCCCCGTAGTTATCGCTGCGTTTGGACTGAAAGTTGTGCCAAATGCAGCTATAATGGCTGGGCGTTCTGTTCGGGTGAAGACGGTATTGTTCTGATTCATTCAATTTCAGTCTGAACTCGACAATGTGTGTTCTGAGTACCATACCATAGGCGCATTCCTGAGCTCTGCGCTTTTTTCCGCTGAATCGCATGTTTTTTTACCACACTGCATGTGTTGTCAACAGACTGTGCGATCTCCTCTCAGACTGTATCATGGAGCATAATTAAGTTATAGGAAGGAAAAAAGGGAGAGGGGAAAGAGAGGGGAGGAGAAGAGGAAGGGAAGAGAAGAAGAGAGAAGAGGGAAGTAATGAAATGAGTAGGGAAAAGAAAAGTTATAGGAAGAAAGAACATACCTCTCGGAATGCACTGCTTTGGAAATCTTCACGCGTCTGAGGTCATGAGGATTTTGCAGCTGAACTGACATCGCTTTTCAATCACGATCCACAGGTGGGGGAGTACCGTTTAGTACCTGATGGCTGACCACCTCATACACTGGGTTGGGTTAGCTGAACCTGGACCTGGTCCGTTCTTTGGCTGATCGGTTTGAACCATTGGTTTGCTACTTGGCTGAGTAGCTTCTTGGGTGCTTGGTTTGTCGGCTCCATGTTTTTTTTTTATGACAGCTTAAAGTTTTGGCTTCTTTTTGTGTTTTTTTTTGGTCTGACGGACCACAGACCTGTCAGTGATTGGAATAGACACACCACTGCACTTAACTTGAATGCCAGCCAAAAGGCTGAGAAATGTCTTCAATCCTAGATCATTGGACTTTCTAGAACTCGTCGGACTCCAAGGAAAGGGCAAGGCCATCGAAATTAGTAACGTCTCCCCTGAGCCTGCAGAATCTCCAATGCATTCGACCATCACAGCAGAGAGCGATATCATCATTCGTTTCATATATGCTCTGAAAGGGAGGCTCAAGGCCAGAGAATGCTTCCGCCTTTTTAGGTTTTTAGCCCCTTGGGAATCAGGCGTCTAGCTAAGGGCCGCAGCTGTGTAATGCGAAATCTTAGTTGACAATGTGCCCGGCGCCGGTTTGAGCTTGAGTTACCTATTTTCCTGCATAGTACTTGACCTTCATTGGAAACTGGTTCAAGCCTCTGGACTCTCTGGACTTCCAGGCTGCACTGGGCCTGCCCTCGGCTCGGCCTGCATGCGATACAGGGCCAGCTGCACAAGCCATTCAGCATTCGTGGAGGTGGATCGGTGAGGTTGGCTTCTCTTTGAAGACTTTTCATTGGTTGTTGTTGGGTTTTGATTGGCTTGGTGGTTGGTTCAGGCGTCGGTTTAGTTTCGTTTGCGTTCATGTTTTCATATGGTGCGCGTTTGATCGGACTGGTAATAGTTCGGGTTGGTTTTGTTTTCATTTGGTTTGGGTTTGGTTCAGGCGTAATTGGAGTAGGTTCGGTTTGGGTTCAGGTTTCATCTGGAGGGTTCGATCCGGTAGAGTTCGGGTTTGTTCCGCTTCCATTTGGTTTGGTTTGGGTTTGGGTTTAGGGTTTACTACGCCTAAGTTGGATCGGGTTGGGTCGTTTTGGTTTAGTTCAAGGCGTGTTTCGGATTTAATTTCGTTCTGTAACTTCTGTTCGATTTTACTTCAATTTGGCGAAGGGCCTAGTAGTTGAGATTGTGGCGTTCTTCGGGGTTTGTTATGTTTTGTTTTGGTTTAATCTGGTTTGACATCGTCTCCAAAGGTCAGCGGTTGGAATCCATTTGTGCACGGAGAAGGTCATAGGCCCAGAGGTACAGATCCTTAACTTGCTTTGTCTGTCTGCTTGTTCGTATCGTCGTCCAGTTCACTGTTACTACAGTGCTCAATGACATCTTCTCGATCAGAGACGGTAAGATTTTTTTTCGTTCAGACAAACATCAGAACCTCAAAAGTCGCTCCTGCGGAAGCTCTTTTTTGCATCGTTTTTTTTCTTTTTCCCCAAACATTCTTCTTCTTCCGATGGGCCAAGTCGAAACCCGATTGTCACCGTGACGGCTGTCCACCTTCTGCAAGACTCGAGATCATACAACGTCTTCTCACGGACTGAAATAGAAACAGATGGTTGTGGCTGCGTTCTCTCCACGAGGGCCAGGTTATCGAGTATTAAGCCGTCGATTGCTGCCTGCAACCCATGAATGTCTTCACACATCGCCTGACAGTGTTGTGTTTAGGGTTAAAGGGTTCAGTGTTCCATATTGATGGTTCTGGTCGACCGTTTCATTCTGCGAGCCATTCACTAGCTTAACAACAACAACCAGATATCGATTTCTGAAACCACTTCCACCGGGCTCAAGGGTTTAGGCTCATCAGAGATTAGCTTTTACAGGTCAGGGTCAGTCCATGGATCAAGTCAATGGACCACTGGCAGGTGTGGGATCTGTTCTTTAGAATGTACTTTACCAGGTTTACCCTTGGGTACGCGAACCCAATTGCCACTTCTAAGCAGCTTTACCTGGGGGAGTTTTATGCTTTCAAGAAATCCAAAGCATTGTGAAACTCGTCTCCTTCGTAAATCACTCAGTTGGTTGCATACGCAAATCCAATTCACCACTTCGAAGCCATCTTTTTCTTTTTTTAAACATAAGATCCATGCCCCATCTGTTCAGCGCCAGTTCTGCTGTTTATCACCAGCAAGCGAAAGGTTGGCGTCAGATAAAGCAAGAGAGAGAGAACAAGAAGGAAAGACAACTGCAGGTAGACGACTCCACTTCTAAGCAGTCTTTGCCTGACAGACACTGACAGACAAATGTGTTGTATGAAGTGGGGAGTGTGAGTTCCGCTGGGGGGAGCCTGTGCCAGTTCCACTGGGGGGAGCCTGTGCCAGTTCCGCTGCGGGGAGTGCCAGTTCCGCTGTTTCATGCTTTGATAACTAAATTAAATCTCCTTCGCTAGCATCACACTCACCGTGACTGACAGACAAATGCGCTGTTTGAACTTTGAAGATGAATATTGCATATTGCATGGTTTCAACTTCCAACCATTTCGCAGTAAATTTGTGAGATTTGAGAGATTTGAAAGATTTGCCCAGAACAAAATTATTATGCACTCTGTTGAGGGGCAAATGTGTTGTACGAACCAGTCCATCCTTACTTTATTTAAGTTTATTCTACTTGAAGCGGCAATGAATATTGAAGGCAACTCCAACGACTCGTATTCAAAGGTTCAAGCGCATCGCATCAATTGGCTGTCACTGCTGGTGGGATTGACCCCGACAGGCCTCACTCTCACCCAAACCCAACATGATTCAATTTGCTGAAAGAGGGGGTGGTTCGTTGCCCGCTTCCCAAGCAGAAGCTCAGGATTTCAAAACCCTGAGTGGAATTCATGTGTGGCTATGTGCATCAAGTGTTTAGTTCAAGGAAAAGGAGAATGGAATTTGCTATTGACAAACTGTCTCTGGAATGAAATTTGCTACTGACTCTGAGTTTTCTGTCGCAAACTGTCTCTGTACAGGCCCTCCCTCTATGAATTCTATGGAAATATCGGTAATTAATCCTTATGCGCGTACGACTTCGAATGTAGTATGTGTTTGGGAGGCCACGTACAGGTCCCGGGTTCCCATGCTCTGGGCAGCTGGGGGGAGTGACAGGTCCCGGGTTCCCTTTCTCCAGGCATCTGGGGGCAGTGTGAATGAGGGCCTTTCAAATTCGAACGGGGCCTTTTTGCTGCCACGGACACTTTGCACCGTGACTGCATCTGTAATTGTTTGTGCTAGCAGAAGCGCTTCTGCTGCAGCAGAAGATGGGGAACGTCTGCACTTGTGCTGCATCACTACCGTCGTTTCCCGAACGCAATGCACCATAACTATGGGTGTACCTTCCTGAAAAGATGGCTTGTATACATTCATTATCAGAGTGCATTATGCTCTAGGGAAGATGGTAGTTGTACTGCTGCTGCAACAGTCTGAGTTCTACAGCAGGACAAACTTAAGTATGCCTGCTGCAGCATGAGTAGTCATGTTTCCACAGAAGTAGGTAGTTCTGCCGCCGTGTTACAACTACTTTGCAGCAGCAGACTCACGTTGTGCTGCAGCACAGAAAAGTATGCTTCAGCAGAAGCAGTTCTGCAGCAGCATAAGTGCTCTTCTTCAGCAGACAACTTTTTTTTTTTAATTGATACATTTTGCAATTTATGTGTCATCGTGCACAGGAGCCATGCTGATCGTCTTAGTATTGTTCCAATTTTAATGTACGTCTTGAAGGACACCAGCTGAACCACCATCATGCCTAGACCGCGGACCAACACTCATTGTTTATGGCATCATGGACTTTCAGGGTAGTTCTTTGAGCTAATCGTTTTGTTTTGATTGCAATATCAACAGTTACTCCACCTGCGAGGATATGGGTCCTCGGCAGGCCTAAGGGGCCCCCTTCAGCATATGTGCCCGCCCTAAGTGAAGGCGGGCCTAACAAATCACGAGAGGCCCTTGGCTGTCAATTTCGCATTTGGGGTCCAGGCAGTTTCGTCGCGCCAGTTGGTTGAAGGGAAACATAGGCCTAGCAGCGTGGAAATTCCCAGGCCTTCTAGGCCTTTCCGAAAGCACAGGCCCTGGGCGAGATTCGCAGCCTCATACACAGACAGTTGGGAGGCCCAACCGAATGAGGCCCAGTAGCTGCACTAGAGGCGCAGCATCCTGGGGCCTACCGGAAGCTTCTGGGCCCAGGCCAGTCAAGCCAGGCTGCCAAATGAGGCAGGCTCTTTCCATATAGGAAAGAGCTCGCTGCCTGGCCAGTCATTCGGGCACTTGCATGCTGGCGGCAGTGCTGCTGGAGCTGAAGCTCGTGGGCTGCTGCTAGCGCTGAGCGGCGAGGTGCAGGCACGTGCGGTCGTGCAGGGAGCAGGGCGCTGCTGAGGGCAGCGCCGTAGCGCACCCTCCATAGCTGGCAGGGCTTGGATGTACAGTGAGGCACAGGGGTGGTCTTCGGGTGTACAACAAAGGGGGACGTGGGAGAGAGTCAAGGGGGAGAGAGAAGGATGATGA